GTGAAAGAATCTTTTGCAATGTAAGCATTACTGTCCTACATTAGATACATTTAATAAACTAGCTTTCTCACTTATACAGACTCTTATAAGCTACGGTTAATGTGAATTTGCTTTTGAAAGAGTGAGCTATACTTTTGGGGTGACAAGGATACCAAGTTTCTGATATATAAAGCTGAGAGCAACTACGGTCCCAAGATAAAAGTAAATACTACTCTGAATTGACCCTTGTTAGCTACCTGAGAACCAGACTACTAGCCAGCTTCTTTTGGTAATTCATGGACTTTGTCATGCATTTAAATTAACCTATAACAGAATCCCAGAGTTATTAGAAAACAATTGCTACTTAGACCTTGTATTGCTCTAGGGGAGCTTGCAGTGCTAAGAAAAATCTGAGCATACCTGTGTTTCATTACCCATCTATCAGACCGCGACACACACACACAATCATGGCACATCATGTCCATGAGGCTGTTAGGAAATAGGCACTCTCACATGCTATTGATAGAGGACTACAAACTAGTGTACTCCTTCTGGAGGGAACTCTGGCAACACCTGATAAAAATGCTATTTCTAGGAAATCTATCCAGAGGATACATCTCCAACAATAGGAAATGGCTACGCACAGGACCGTTCACAGCAGCCTTCCTAGAAAATGCTACATTAGACATAAAATAATGCATATAAGTAAAGCACAAACAATGTGGTATTCTAAATCAATGCAGGACATACGCAAGTATAATTAGGAGTAAACTCTAAAAGTGATGAAAAGTAATTTTTAGAACAATACATGTGGTATGACACTGCATTAATACAGTAACACACGTAAAGTATAAAAATATACAACATAAACACTGTGGGTACACGTAACATAATACATGCTGGTAAATGTGCTACTAAATTAAACATATAGATAATAAAATAACACTGAAAGAATAATAATTACTTCTGAAACAGAGAAGAAGGTGAGTGGAATTAGGCATTAGAATATGGCAAAACATTGACACTTGCTAAACACAAGAATGAGATTATAGGGACATTTGTTATGTCATTTTCCATATGACTGAACAATTTCATATTTGATACAATTAATTATGATATGATAACTTATTATTAGTTATTATGGTATTAATTATACAGAGGACTTCTAATTTGGCCGCTTGGATAATTTACTGTTGAATTATACTTTTTTATTTTTGACGAGCAACAATTTAAAAATTCTAGAATACTTGGTGATTATAACTTAATCATTGAGCATATGCTGCCATCTAGCACAACTTCTCAGAATAGTTTAACAACAGAAAACAGTTCCTTCTTTTGGACAGACCCTCATTTACTATTTCAGTAAAAAATATTAAAAAGGACTACACACTCAATTATGAAATAGAAGCTTTGCAACTTCAAAAGCACATACAAACACGGTTCTTGACATTTTTATCTTTTACAATACATGGAGACAAAGCACTTTGTTCTCTGGCAATTCTGTTTCACGTTTAGGATCTAAGAGGAGGTAGAAAGCAATTTTCTAATGAGCTTCTTGGTAATGTGCTATCAGAAACAAAATAATGTCTGTTTCACATAAAGGCCCTTGGCCCCCCTATGGAATTAAAGTTCATAATGAGATTGTTTCACCTCCTAATTCTGATTGTGCATGTCACTGCTGCCTAAAGAAAGAGATGACTGGAGCAAATCCAGCACTAGTTTTGCGAATTGTGTACTTACTACATGCTAAGGCAGTGTTGTTTCCAATTGTGCATCCTTTCTCCACTTCAATGGAGAGGGAGAAAAAAAAAGTCTACAGTTAGGAGATTTCCATCGCTCATGTGAACATGAAGTACCTCAGGTTGAGCTATCCATACTGTCCTCTGCCCAACACTATTTACTCATTGTTAACTGTACAAACTAGGTACTATGCTTAAAGTCAGGGAAGCTGCTGTAAGAAGTCAGTTAGATAGTCTCACTTTGAACTCCACATAAACTACAGGTCAAAATAAAACATGTAATAGATAATCATAAAGTGAAGTATAAAGTGATTTTTTAAAAGAAAAATAGAGGTAAAATTAAAAAGGGAAGATTTTACATACTTAAAAAGAATAAACATTATTTTAAGAACTGAGAATCAAGAAGTTGTCTATAAATGTCAGCTTTTCTCCTTGGAAAATTTTTGAAAAGAATAAAAACATTAAGGGTAGAAGACAATGAAAGTCAGTACAATAGGTGCCTGTGTAGGCAGGCTTTTTATTTTCACAAAAGATATTTTGGAAAATTAAACATGCTATAAATTAGACGGCCACATAATTTATTAAAAGAAAAAGCCTTAAAAATTTTGTACAGATAATGAGTATCAATATCACAAAAATAATACCAGAGATTTATAAACATTTGAGAATCTGGGGTGTGTGCGTGGCTCAGTCAGTTAACCATCTGACTCTTGGTTTTGGCTTAGGTTATGATCCCACAGTTCATGGGATTCATTTCTGTGTCAGGCTCCAGGCTGACAGCATCGAGCCTGCTTGGGATTCTCTCTGCCCCTCTCTGTCATTCCCCTGCTCGCACATTCTCTCTCTCAAAATAAGTAAAGTTAAAAAGAAGAGAGAGAGAGAATCTGTTGAAACCTGTGGACTCCCCCCCCCCCCCCCCGCCCAGAGACACACATATAAACACCAATTTACACATAATTTCAGGCAGTTATTGGATCCCTGAATTCCTAAATCTCAGGGAGAGCTAATCTAAGTTATTAAGAATCATAAAAATGATGGCTCGAGTTACTCACTGAACAGATGGGTAGTGAAGATATGATGGTGAGCAAAAAGCTTCCAGATAAATGGAGGAAATAAGAAACCTCTCTCACATTCACACACATATACCCTAAGCCAACTATTATAAGAGCTAAAAAGTAAATGGAGTTACAAACGCTTATAGAAGGGATAAAAGGATAAAGTCAAACTCCGTTATCCTGAGAAAATAACAAGTAAAGTAGAAATATGAAATGGACTAATGAGAAGAAAAGGAGTTTTGGGTACAAGGGAGAATACGCGCAAAGGAGGAGTAAGAGTGCGACGCTTCCTAGTAGAGGAAGGCCAGTGAGGCTGAAGTAGGGTGTGGGGTGGGAGGCAGTGGTGTACTAGCAGGGGGAGAGGGGACTGGTCTTGTTTAGGCAGGTTTTTACCAAAAGCAACAGGAAGCCATCAAATAGAATGTAAGCAAGGGAGTCATGGGATTAGATTTCTATTTTGAAGCGAGCACTCACTCTAGCTGCACTATGGAGATCAGACTAGAGGGAGAGAAGAACCAAGGAAAATAGTTGGAAGGCTAGTAAGCAGTTCTGGTCAGAGATATAACTTGGACTGGGATGGGACGGTAACGAAAAAGTAATGGATTAAGATAGTGAACTCTTTTTCTGATACATTTCTTCCTTGGAGGAGTTATTTCATTTCTTTTACCAATTTTCTATGAGACGGTTTCTCCTAACTACTATTTAACAGTAATGACATTAGCCATTTATCTGTCATATTTGCTATATAAATATATTTTGTAATTGGCTGTCTTTCTTAAATTTCAGGATATTTCTCATTTTTATATGGACAACTCTATGCTTGTTTTTCCCTTTGTAAATTTTCCCTCTCATTTATTTTAAGTTATAATGTATGTTTACAAATATATGCTAAGATCTTCAGGATTTCCCCCTTCAATGTATCTGTACTCCACTGCCAAGTGAAATCTAGACTCATTAACCTGGAAGTAGGGCAGTATGTAATATATTTTAGTTTAATTTCCTACTTCATCCACACGTTCTCATCAATGGAGAGTTACCTAGGCCTATACTACCCAAGGGGGTCCCTACTACCATCTCGTTTTGGTTTACACCAGTCCTTTTGCCTGGAATGCCTTTTTCCCTTCAGTGAATCACTGACTGCAATGCCAGTCTAAGATCCTTAAAGACAAAGAATAATCACTTCATTTAGCCTTCTTTGGAAACTTTTCTGCACTACTTGTCTTTCTGGGCATTATTCTATACCATAGGCGGGTGCTGCTTACCCTTTCCTATCTGAGTTGCAACCTACAGGTTGCCTGAAAATACAAAGTATGTCTACACACAACTGTGCAAGGTGAACAGTAGATCATGCTCATAGCAAACACAGAGCCACTGAATACAGGATAAAAAACCTCCTTTGCATTAGCTGGGAGGTCCTCATTTGATTCTTGCTTCTCCAGGTTACTTTAAATCTTCAGATGTCTTATGATTCCTTAAATAGAACCAGAAACTGGAAAGGGGATAGCGCTAGAAATGGTAGCCTAGTGACACAGACACGATACGTTAGCAGTGATAAGAGCAAATACCTGGTTTCAGACTGAATTTAAGAGAGAACGAGAGTTAGCGACAGCAAGTATAAACAACTCTTTTTAAAAATTTTGCTGTAAATGAAAGGAGAGAAATGGGACAGTAGTTGCAATAAGAAACATGGTATTGAGTGGACCTCGTTACAAACGACACGATCTCACTGTAGATCAGCAATCTCTTAGTATAAGCTAGAGTTCTTAACCTCCCGCCTTCACTTTCAGCACCCGATAAAAGGCAGGTAACGCTTAATGAGAGTTTATTAGCTGTCCAGCACCGTGCAAACACTTCCCATATTCCAATTAATTGCTCACAACATCCTTGCGAAGAAAGTAGGATCAAGAGCTTCGTTTTACAAACGCGGACAGTTACCATAAAGATTAAATGATTCTCCCAACGTCTCAGAGATAAAAATTCATGGGGCCCAAGGGCAAGAGACAGGTCTCTTGCTTCAGCCACCTCGGAACCGTGAAGGGAAGTTACTGTGACCAGGCTCCGAGTTCCGGTAAACCTGCCTGGGCCCATCCAGCGGCTCCTTCAGCCGCACTCCTTACCCTCGCCCCCGGGAGACCACGCGCCTGTCAGAAAGACCCAAAGAGCCGCTCGTGGGGGGAGGGAGGGTACTAAAGGGCAGTCCCACAAGTTCCCAGACCTCGGCGCCTACCTCGTTATTGAGGTTTAGACTCCCCTGTTGAGCCATGGTGGGTTCAAGAAGCGCTGCGACCAGCACGTGAACTCTGCGAATCAAATCGCTGGTGCGTCGCCACGCCCCTCTACGGCACGCTCTGTGGCCCAAAACTCACCGACCAACCTTCCGCGACGACGCTTGAGGAGAAGGGAGATTGACTCTTTCAGGGACAGAACGGAAGTGAGTGAGAACGACTTCCGGAGTGAAGGGCTACGCGCCGGAACTGCACGTTCCTATGGAAACCGAGCCTGCGCAGGTGGTTCAGAGGAGGCTCGAACTGTTGGCAAATTTGGAAGTTTTTTAAGATGCTTATTTATTTTATTATATTTGTTGGTAGACTTGGCTCGGCTGTTAAAAACCTTGTTTTTGTGTCCCAGTGGGGAGTGAAAAGACGTTTTATGAAAGGAACAGTTGAGTGACCATATTTGCACCGAATTTTTATCTGGGGTTTGTGAACATTCTTGCGCTTCTCACAAGGAGCCCTAATTAGATGCAGCTCTCCCCAACGCCCCCGCCCCCCGCCCCCCAGGCTCATACTATAGCTGAAGCGTGGACCTATTTTTTCTGCACACTGTAATAAGGTTTGAATTTAGGTAACGAACGTTTAAATAGATTTAATACTAATATAATAATAGTAATAGCTCTTTAAGTAGATTTAAATAGATTTTTCCCTTTAGAAAAGGAAACAAATAATTGAACATTTGAGGAAAACTTTAAAAGCACGTTTGCAACTGCCTAAGGGAATGACTGTTTGAAGTATTTGCCTGCAGGTTGAAGAGACATTAAGGAGTAAATCTGAATTAGATAATCTTTGAATTAATACTTAACACCTGGTAATATTGATCATTAAAATGGGTCAGAGGCTGGGGCAAAAGCTTTACATGAATTATCTCCAAAATACAGACATGCGATGAGATAGGAACTATTCTTATTTTACAGATGTGGAAACTGACTTCGGAGGAGCCAAGTGTCTTACCCATAGTTTCCTAGCTGGGGCCAACCACTGCCACAGGACTGAGGGGATGGTTACATAAATCTGCGGAGCCCAGTGCAAAATGAAAATGTAAGACCCCTCATTGAAAGTAGGAAAAAGGTGTTTTTCTTTTCTTTTTTTTTTTTTTTTCATGTCTTGCATGGTGTTTCTTGACCTGTCTGTCCTTTGTTTTTATTTGGTATGTAATGTAGTGTTCTGTCAAGCACAGGCATATTGGTGAATCTAGTGCAGACCTTTACAGGTGCCTGGGACCTGTACCCCAGGACTCAGGGTAGGATGCATGTTTTGTAACAAGATGGCAGCAGTTGCTGAGCAGAGGCAGGAAAGTGGGAAGCCAGAGAATCCAACTGGAATATGTGGGAGGCAAGACCAAAAATGACCCAGGACTAAACCCTTGAGATACGTTTCATCGTCACACTGGACTTCACTTACAAAACTCAAATTCACAGATAAAATTGACAATTTCAAGACTGATGAAAGAACATTTAAGCTAGGCCTCCTTAGGCGCCTCTGTCCAAAAAAGACAGCTGTGTCCAGAGTCCGTGCTCTTAACTGATGATTCTGTATTCAAATTACATTAACTCAGACTTGTATTGTGGTTTTTTTTTTTTTTTTTTCTTTTTTTAGTTTATTGTGTGATTTGGGCACAAATCATTGATGGTTGACTTCCTCTTTGAATAATGTTGCACAAACGTAGTTTTGCCATTAATAAGCCATACATTAAATTGTAATTGTCTCTTTAGTCATCTGTTTCTCTTCATTAAAGCTGAACTCCTAGAATGTAATGGCTTCTTCAACCTAGGTAGGTGGTAGGCACTCCATACATGAGTACATAGGAAAGGGCATCTTAAAGATAAGTGTAGAGCTTTATGGAAAATATGTATTTTAACTTGGGACAAGGTGTTTTTATGATTCCATAATAATTCAGAAAATGTATTCTTAATATGAAGTTTGTCTGTAGTTCTTAAAGGCCCTGTAGTGTTTTCTCTGGATGACTCCTCTTGTCCAGCACTTCAATCTTCTCAGGTTCAAGGTTTGTTTTCTACCTTTTCTTGGCCCAGGCTCTCTCCTTTGCCTTTCCACATGCCAGATCTGCTTTCTCAATGGCTACTTTTCAAGACTGGATTAAGTTCCATCCGTCCTTTTAAAGAATCCTTTCCGTAACTCCCAACAGAAGTTAATTTTTTTTCATCAGCACCTCATTTTTTATATTACTTACAATAGTCTGACTTGAAATTTCTTCTGTAAAAACTATTCTCATACATTATAAGCTATTAGCAACCTTAGATGCTCATTTTAAACTACTAGTAGTTTTCCATTGTCCCTGATACATCGCTAACAAGTCAAACCATTTCCCCCTTTTGATGGTACAATCTCAAAAATTATCTTGATTCTTTGCAAAGATGATTCTACTAACCTGCTCTTTTAAGCTACATGCATTTCCTCTAGTAATAACAATGTATTTGTATTAATCAGGGTACAAGTGTCTCTGGAAAGCAACACATGAAAACACCTCTTCCTTTTATTCCTGAAGTGTTGACCTGATCAGTTAAATGCTGCCAGATACATGGAAGAACAATTCTATTATTAAAAGCAACTACTGTGAGACCTCTTACCTCTTTATTACAGTGTTCCAATTAGTGGAAGTAAGGATCCAACAACATGTTCAATGGGAATCAAGTTTTCCATTTTTAGGTTTCTCAAAAGTTTGTCAAATCACACTATTTTTGTCTATGTGGGTTGCCATAACAAAATAACACATATGGGGTGGCTCAAACAACAGACATTATTTTCTTAGAGTTAGGAGGGTACAAGTCCAAGATCAAGGTGGCATCATGTTTGTTTCCGGTTGAAGTTCTCTTCTTGGCTTGCAGTGGCCGCTTCTTGTCTTGTCCTCATGTGGCCATTCGAATGGACACACCTGGAGAGAGACTTTTGTGGTATTTCTTGCTTTTCTTTTAAGAATACCAATTCTGTTGGATTCAGGCTCTACCTTTATGACGTCATTCATCTTAGTTACCTCCCTAAAGACTTTATCTTTAAATACCAACATTTTGGGGATTTTAGCTTCAATGTATAGGTTGGAGTAGGGGTAGAGGACACAATTGAGGCCACTTTCTTTGAGAAAAGAAAATTAACTAAAAAGTAATCTTTTCCAGGGCACCTGGGTGACTCAGTCAGTTAGGCATCTGATGCTTGATTTTGGCTCAGGTCATGATCTCTGGATAGTGGGATCGAGCCCTGCATCTGGCTCTGCTCTGAGCAGTAGCCTGCTTGAGATTCTCTCTCTCTCTCTTTCTCTCTCTCTCTCTGCTCCTGTCCCTGACTCATGCTTTCTCTAAAGACTTTTAAAAAAAATTTTAAATCAATCTTTTCCTTATCTAACATGCCCATTGATCTCTGTTTCTATCATTAGATATTGGGTAACAATTGATATTAGGACATTTGCTAAGTGAAATAAGCCAGACACAGAGGGACAAATACAACATTAAATATGTACATTATGAATTGAAAGCAGTCATATTCAAAGAAGAAAGGACTGGAATGGCGTTTGCAAGGGGTTGGAGTGAGGGAAATGTGGATGGACAGGTATTAGTCAAAGGGTACAGAATTTCATTATATAAGATGAGTAAGTCCTAGAGATCAACTATGAAACATAATGCCTATAGTTAACAATATCATATACTTAAGAATTGCTATGAAGATAGTTCTTATGCTGAATGTTTTTATCCTCAAAAAAAAAAAAGCATTAAAGAGGGCAGGATAAACTTTTGGAGATGATGAATATGCTAATGGAATAGAGTGTGGTTATGGCTTCATGGTATATACTGTGCTCACCTCCAAAGTTATTAAGTTGAGTGTGTTAATTGTGTACAGTTTTTTGTAGATTAATCTTATCTTAGTGAAGTGCTTTAAAAAAAGAAAGTTATGGGCTGGTACTAACAAGGTGATTGTAATGCTCCACCTTTCTCTTACTTGAATGAGTGGGTAAAAGAGAAGTTTTGGGGAATCCTTTCACTTTTTAAGAATGTGGTGTAATTTATAATCTGATGATTTTGTACTCAAATTACATTTGAACAGTTAGTAATTCACTCACAGCAGATTGTAGTATAGCTGGGTGTTTCAGTGCCAACTGTTAACTACTGCATTAAGTTTTTGATTTTATGGCTCTGCACTTTGAGTTCTCTATCCCTGGATGGCAGTGTTGTTCTCCAAATTTGACACTACAATTGAAATTTGGAAAGGTAGGGGCACCTGAGTTGCTCAGTCAGTTCAATGTATCAGACTTTGGCTCAGGTTTTGGGCTCTATGTTGGCAGTGTGCAGCCTGCTTGGGATTCTTGCTCCCTCCTATCTCTCTGCCCCTCCCTTGCTCATGCTTTCTCTCTCTTAAAATAAATAAGTAAAACCTTTAAAATTTTTGGAAATGTATAGAAAGCAATCTAAGTAAATGGCTTATGACAACATTTTTTAAATTGGAAAGAAAACAGTTGAATCTATCAGATTTTGTATTTCTTTAAGGACTAAGATTAACTGCTCAGTTTTTAATTTTTGATTTGAAGTGAATTGCCAACAACAACCAACCCTCTAGGTGAACTGCTAATGGTTTTTTTTAAGATTCAACTTTATGTGTATGTATATATAAATACACACACACACACACTGAAGAGCGTAATTGGTTAGTATATAGAAGGCAGGTAATTTGCAAGTTCCTAGGCCAATATGTTTACTAAATTAATCCTCTAACAGATTGCTTTTTGCCTAGATTTTATTTTAATTTTTATGGAGTGTTTTGAATAGATTTGTTATTATATCTGTGGGTAGGAATTTTAGATACTAAAATTTGAAAAAACTGGTTAATGTTACATAATCAAATTTTACAAAATCTCAGGGAATGAGCTGACACTGAGTTAGCAATTTAGTATTTTGGCTAAGAGGTTTAACTCTGGAGTCAGACTATCTGACAACAAAGTTTAATTCCATTTTTTAATAACTGTATGCCCTTGGGCAAGTTATGTAAGCTCTCTGTGACAAGCTTCCCTTATAAAAATGAGAATGATAATCAGCCTCATAGGATTGTTGTGATGATTAAGCAAAAACACAGTGTAGTTTCTTAATGAATATTTACCTGTCAATAATTTAAAC